GATACAAATCCTCCTTCCAAGTTACCAGTAACAGCAAATGGTTAAAAAAAATTAACTGTATGTCACCAACACCATGATCAGTAAATGTGAGAATACCCTTTCCTGGACAATAGCAAGACACCTTCCTTAGCACGTTGTTTGCTTTATATATCTATTCCTATTCCATTCCCACTTAGCATTACCCACCAGTCTAAAAGGGGGTGTTAGAGTTTCACTTAGAGCCACAGCTCATTAAATATGTTATGTTCTTTAAAGCACCCAACTCATGCCTTGGGATTAATTTATTTACCCATAAATAAAGTAACCATATTTTCTGAACCTCAAATTGGGCCATATGGTCTGATATGTATTAGCATACTTTTTTTATGAAGAAGATACTGTAAGAAATTGGGACTGCTATGGAAACGGAAAACCGAGTCCGAAATAAAACTCCTAGCACAGCCCTAATCTTAATTTACATTTCAGAAGTGCATATTCCCATTTACTGCAAAAATAGCTCTGCTTCCTTCAGTCTTGAACACAAACCCCGTATTCAACCTTCTTTCAAATCGGAATGCTGGTCTCCATACCAAAAAGTAGGATTATCTTCTAACCTATCATGGTTACATTGGTCTGGAAGACCCTGTGCTTCAAGTCAAGGTTCTTTGCAGGCAGGAAAACCAAGAGGTTCCTTTTGTCCATACCAAATGTCCCTTGTAGTAACCAGAATGACTTTTGGGTCAGGAAGATTTCCTGGAACAGGCCCCTTTGTCACTGAATGACGATCCGTAATCATTCTAAACTGTATCAATAAAAAATAGTTTTAAACAGTTATAAAGAAAATTATAAACAGGGATGTTATACTCTGCACCCTGCATATGAGCATATCACATGTTCATTTGAAAAATGTAAACCTAACCTAAGTGTTATTTCCCATTTTTCCTAGAAACAGCTGCAATGTTAGTGCTGAAGATGCATCGCAGTCCTGAAAATCAACAATGAACACCATTTCTGATTCTCTTGGGATGTGGGGGTACTAGTGTTTATGATTCTAGTGCAATTAAAAATAATTTTCTATTGGTTGGTGTTGACTTTCTAAAAAAATGAAATATATATATAGTGTGTGTGTGTGTGTGTGTGTGTGTGTACCTTCACTTAAATGTTTCTTCTTCATATATTGGATTCTATTTCAACACATGCCTAATGAAAAGATGTTTCACAAAGCTTTAGCGATCCTGTTCAAAACAAATTTGACAAGAAAAGCAGCAGCACTGTGAAATACTACATGTGTCTGAGCATAAAATGAGTTTTCCAGCACAGGTCGGAACACTGTGTTTACTGACAAGATTGCACTGTAACAAAGCCAGAAATCAAAATGTTTACTTACCAATTTGTATTCAACTGGAGACTGAGGAGTTATTTTTTATTAGTAGTAAGTGAATTCCTTCCCTTTAGAAGTTGTTAGAATAAATAGCTTCAAAGTACACCCTATTCATTCAGCTTAGTTTATATTCTAAAAACTCAATCCCATACTCCTGGTGCTGCATTTAACCCAATAGTAAGGCTTTAAAACTATTTTGTTCTTATTACTTAACTATAAAATCAAGGCTGGTATGACTTGAGGGGTACTTAGAAAATATCAAGCTAGTCTGATACTTCCTACGACTCAACAGAATTTTGGTGTTAGAAGGACTCAAGCGATAATGTAGCCCAATAACCCAACTTTACAATAACCAAACACAAACTGAGAATTAAGGAGATGAAATGATGTGCCCGTGGTCAACAAGCCATCTCTGGACTCCAAGGCCACCTGTCGTTCCTCTGGCATCCACGAGCTCCCTTTCACAGAACTGAAGGAATATTTAGTCCTCCTCTCTTCTCCATAACTGTTATGCATAATTGTTTCCTTTTTAAGCAATTAATTGCAAGAGAGAACAATGCATCCACCCTTGAAAAGATTCTGATTAAGATGACCCTCAAATATTGTACTTTTGGTAACATTTATTATCATCTGAAAAGCAACTAAAGAATCCCAGATCCCAAGAATTCAAATCTCTAAATGGGTCACTTCTCTTTTATCTTACAACCAAACATGTATGGTGGCCTCTGAGAAAATGAAGTTGCCTAAATTAGTTACAAATAGCCCCTGAAAGCACATTTCTCAGTATAAAATTGTCACAAATGGTGCTAATGCATTTTAACTAGCTTTGACTTGGAAAAATTCTATAAATCCATAACTATCTTCACACATTCTCTGTAAGACAAGTATTCTGCACAGAAGTGCCCGTATACAAGTCTTAAGGGCTTAAATGCTTCCTTCTCAGAATGGAATCAAGATCCAGACATCCTAAAATTAATGGATCTTGCAGGGGGAAAAAAACCCCATACATTTAGTGGTTACCTAATAAAAGCCTATGACTATCACTTTTTTACTCTTTTACCCTTAAAAAGAAACTATGTACAATAAAGGGAAGCCCTAGGGTCCCCAAATGACTATATTTCCTGGGTTCTCAGAATTGTTAATTCTAAAACATGTCAATTAAATGTAATATAACTTTTCTGATTTAAAAGAGTGTTGTAGAACCAGTGAAATACAATGTATTTCCTTCCAAACATAGCCAAGTCATTGCTAATGCTATTATAGAATGTTCAATAAACATCGAAGCTGGAGAGCATGCATTTAAACTATTTTAAGATATAACCAGACCTAGTTGAGGATGGCAAAAGGGAGGTGGTACCTTGTCCACAGGGTCATCTTTATACCATGGCATGCCTGAAATCTTGCCCCAAAAGAAGAAACTGCAACAGTTATTTAATGATAGGCTCTCTTGTGTGTCTGCAAATCAACTCCTTGTAAGGAGCCTCAAATTAAAGAAATTACCCATGATTTTCACAGCATCCTAATAAAGCAGATGTAACTTGCGGGCTCTTAATCTCCTAGAGGAAGATTAAAAGCAATTTAAACATAAAATTGGACATTTACATGGAACTTATTTCAGAGTTTTCACATGTTTTCATTTGCTTTCCTGTAATAACTGATGTAGCATATGCATCATGTGCCCTCTTTTTTTGCTATTGAGGAAACTGTGGTGCAGAGATTAACAGGGTGACTTTTCCAAATAAATAGTGGCCAACCTAAGTAGGCTTACAGGGCTAGTGTAATGCTTGTTACATTTTTTGCTTCTAATCCAAAATATAGGGTAATGCCATCTTTGAAGTATTGTTTCAAGATGGCATTTCCTTGTTTTGTCACTCTCTATTGCCCACTAGAGATATTTGGTCTACACATTCAATCAATTCCTCTGTTTGCTGCTTTTCATTCTCCAAGGTGTTCTCAAGAGGTGTTGCTCTATAAGTGGTGGGGAAGAAATGGGAAGAAGGAAGTAGCTTTGCTTTTAAACCTAACATTGGATTTACTTTGAATTTTAAATATCATTAAAAGAGAGGTAAATTTTATATTATTATCAGATGATGGCCTGGGGTTAAGAAGCTTGATAAAAGTTATTCTAGGTCTTTTTTTTTTCAAAGTTCACAGTTGTTAGAGTTCATTATGTACTGAGATACACAATATCTTTTTCCCAAACCTCAGGACAATCATTTTATAAAGAATAGAAGTTGAAGAAACACTGAAGAGAATAAGGCCTATTACATATTCTGAGTTTGCTAACCTATATCTCATTATAACTTAATAGTGCAAGCCCAATCACTAGCTGTTATCTCACATTCTAGAACACCTTGTTATGAGTTAAACACTTATATGTGTCATAAATTCCTTTAATAATGATGGTGATGTCGAAAGCAAATGTTTTGACACAATTCTTTCTTATACCAATTTTAGCAAATGGAGTGCCAAATTCTGAGATGAATCCCCACATTTTGCTTGTATGTGGCAGCACAAAGAAATAAATTTAATTAATCTATCATTTATGTTATACATTTAATAGAAAGCTCTTAAGCCATAATCACTGTAGCATCTGGGCATCTATTTCTTCATTAATTCTTTCAGTGCATGCATTAGCTTTGGTTAAATTATCCTGGATTTAAAGGCAGAAGAATAGGATGGTTTCAGAAACATCATTGTAATAGACCGATTTCAAAAGAATTCAGTAGCTAAATTCAACGTCATAGCCCCTTTGCAGATCAGTTATTTAGATTTAAAAAGAGAAGGGAATCTGTGCTGTTATCTGCATGGCATTTAGTCTCACACAAAGAAAAGAAGAGAACAATAAAAAAGGACTAAGAAATTATTGTTCCAATGATTGTCATTGAACTTTTACATTAGTAAACATTCACAGTATGAAGTCTCTCTCAATCTCCAGCATATAAAGTAGTGCAAAGAAAAAAAGAAAATTCCAGTGCTGGGATTTCTGAACAAAACTTGTTACATTTTCTCTGATGTCATTTCTCCCATACTGTTAGGCATTTGCTCTCATATCTTCCCAAAATTAATAATAAAATATAAACAATTTCTAAAGACCCCTGCAGCCTTTTTAAAAGTTAATTTCCAGTTAAAAATAAACTTTAATTAAATCCAAGATAGAATTGTGACCTATATGCTATTAAATAATTCACTTTCTTTTTTTTCTACATAGTAATTCTTAACAATTTTTAAAAAACAACTATGGAATTCAAAGACATGAGATGATATTAAAGCACTGATAAATGACTGTTCAAATTCATTAGTTCTTACATAGTAAATACTTCAAAATGCCAACTTTTCCCATTACTGCACGATTACTAAAAAACGTTGACAATTTACTTACACATACACACACGCACACAGCACACACACACACTCATTCCACATAGCCATCTTTACTTTTACATCCTTTCCAGTTAATGTGCAAAATTCTTGCATCCTAATAAAAAATATAAAGATTGAGTTGCTCCTATTTAAGCCTCCCTCTTCTCCAAGATGCATCATTTATTTGATATGTAATACAAGTTTATAACAATTATGCCATGTATAACCATTAAATGGTGTACTACTGTATGCGTTGGATTCATTTGCATATTTCATTTTCATAACTGCACTCTCTATGCATAAATATATTTGGAGATGCTGGGCTTGGGGGCGAGGGGGCAGTGGCGCACGGAGAACAGGATTCACACATCAGTCTCCACAGCCTTCGCGTTAGAGCAGTTGTTTTTATCTGTCTCACTGTCATCCCCCTTTCCCTGACACTTCTCCTTGGCACAAAGAGATTCCTTAACTCCTTCTTCCATCTCTAGATACTCTGACTTGTCTCCCAGAGAGGAAGAAGTAGAGCTCCGAAATTTCCTCAGCAAATTAGAAGGGATGTATGGGCAACTGACTGCATTCTGTGTCAGTTGTGTCTGTTCCTCATTTTCAGTCTCTCTGTGGTAGAAATAGTTAAAGTTAGAGACAATCACTGGCACTGGTAAAGCAATGGTTAAGACACCCGCAATGGCACACAGGGACCCCACGATCTTGCCCCCCACAGTGATGGGCTTCATGTCCCCATAGCCCACAGTTGTCATGGTCACCACAGCCCACCAAAATGCATCTGGGATGCTTTGGAAATGGGTGGTAGGCTCATCTGCCTCAGCAAAGTACACAGCGCTAGAAAACAGGATGACCCCAATGAAGAGGAAGAAGATCAGAAGGCCCAGTTCCCGCATGCTGGCTCGGAGGGTGTGGCCCAGGATCTGCAGGCCTTTGGAGTGCCTGGAGAGTTTGAAGATCCGGAATACCCGGACCAAACGAATGATCCTGAGGATGGCAAAGGACATGGCCTGCTGCTGCTGCCCGTTGCCACCGCCCTGCTGCTGGGCCAGGTCCGTGCCCAGGGTGATGAAGTAAGGCAAGATGGAGACAATGTCAATGATGTTCATGATGTTTTTGAAGAAGAGCGCTTGGCTGGGGCAAGCGAAGCAGCGAACCACAAACTCAAAGGAAAACCAAACAATGCAGACTGTCTCCACAATGAAGAAGGGGTCGTTGAATACCGTGTGGCCTGAGCTCTCAGGGTGGGGCGGCGAGGTGTCATTCAACAGCCCACTGTGCCCACCCGCGCTCAGAGCCAGGATGAGATCCCTGTCGTCCCTGAACTCGGGCAAGGTTTCCAGGCAGAAAATGACAATGGAGATTAAGATGACCAGGACGGAGACGATGGCTATGCCCCTGGCCGGACTGGAGCTCTCAGGATACTCGAAGAGAAGCCAGATCTGCTTTTTGAACTCATTCTCGGGCAAGGCCCTGTCCTCCTCCTCTCTCACGAAGCCCTCGTCCTCCCGGAACTTGAGCAGGGCCTCCTCCCCCAGCTGGTAGAACTTCACCTCCTCCGTGAAGATGTCAAAGGGCACGTTGACCGGCCTCTTCAGGCGGCCTCCTGATTGATAATAGTACAAGATGGCATCAAAGCTGGGCCTGTTCCTGTCGAAAAAGTACTCGTTGCGCAAAGGGTCGAAGTACTGAGTCCTCTTCTCGGGGTCCCCCAACAAGGTCTCCGGAAACTGGGCCAGAGTTTTCATCTGGGTCTCAAAGCGCAGGCCGGACACGTTGATCACCACGCGCTCGCAGCAGTCGCTGTAGCGCACGGCGCTGTAGCCCCCGCCGCCCCCGTCATCCTGGGGCAGCAGGTCCGTGTAGGAGCCTTCGTCCCCGTGGTGGTCATCGTCGCTGTAGTAAAACCTCCTTTCCTCCTCCTCCTCCTCCTCCTCCTCTTCCTCCTCCTCCTCCTCCTCATCGCTCAGCTCCCTCAGGATCTTCTCCTCCGAGCCGCTGGGCATGAGGTCCGTGCAGTGCGGGAAGCTGCTTGGCCGGTGGTGGCCTTTCTTTTTCTCCGGCTGCTGTCGCCGCCTCCTGTGACTGCGTGGGCCGCTCTGAGGGTCATGGGAGGTGCAGGCCCCCCGAGACTGGTGGTGGTGGTGGTGGTGGGAGCCTCTCCCGCCTCCTCAGCAGTGCTAAGGATGTCCAAATGCAGCTTAGGTCTGCTCCCCGCTGGCAAGTGACAGCAGCTGCTGCCGCTGCCCTCGAGTGGGCCAGCCTCTCCCGTTCCCTGGCCCGGGCCTGGGCCGCGTAACCATAAGGCATGTGACTGTTGCACCCTGAGCTCTCCGCACTCACCATCGCAACCTCCATGGTGCTGGTTTGGGGAAATGGCTGGTTCCAGTTGTAGAAGAAGAAAGAAAAATAGGGCAGCTTTTTTATTTTCTTTCTCACCAAATGAAGGTAAGTTTGGAGCCCTCAAGCAGATTGCTTGGAAGACTGAGGGTATTTTCAGTCCAACTTTGCATTTTCTGTTTTTAAATCAGCACGCCCCATGCTCTGTCTTCCCAGGGATTCGACATGGCTCTCCAGAGCTTGGCTGGTCCAGGTGAACAGCCTAGCACTCTCAAGCCTAAGTCAGATAATGTCCGGGTCTCCCAGACACCTGTTTGGGGTGGGTGTTCAAATTTGGAAATACATCTAGGATGTGGTTGGTGATGCTGCTGCAAGATTCAAAGGCAGCAAGTCTCCGACGGCCAGCAGTTGTGACTAGAAGATGGAATATATTTTTCTGCCATGGAAACTGTCCAAAGCTCGGTCCATCAAATTTAAATAAAATGCAAATAAGCCTTTCGTCTCAGCACTTGCCTTCCAGTGACTGCTTAACCCATGTTAACACGAGACTTGAAGTACATCCGGCCATTGTCCCTCACACCTATAGGGATGATCCTCCAGGCTCTTCCCTTAAGTTCATCACAGGCTTCCTGGACCCAGGGGCAATGCCAAACTATCAACAGAGGCAAAGACCTTGGGAGGTAGAGAAGGTGCAAGATGAGGTGTCAGCAGGGGCAAACCCAGCTCTGAGGTCTCCATAGAGATCAAGAAAATGCAGAGTATCCTTCAGCTAAAATCATGCAGAAGAAGCACTTCACCTGAAAAAGGAAGGAAAACAAGCATGGAAGAAAAATAAAGAGAAGAATCAAATCATAAAAAGCAAACTGAGCATTTCCTTCACATACACTTCTTTCTCTTGTCCTCGAGCAAACCATATAAAGCACCAAGCAACCATAAATTTCCAAGGAACACCGGGCAGGTTGTTAAATCTCCTTCTCACTAAACATCCTTCTTTCCTTCTTCTTTGGATGTTATTTCAGCTCAGTCTATTTTCTTGTCACTCTCATCATTCCACAATAATAATGCTGTCGCTTTATAGCTATTTCCATCATGCATTGATCTTAAGGCATTTAAAAAAAATTTCCACTCGTAAATTTTTCTGAATATAGTGTCCTTCCCCTCACCCCCCTTGATTCAGGATTAGAGAAGTCGGAAAAACAGTTTGTTTTTTTTAAATCCAGGCTCCAGCACTTGAACAAGCTTCAATCACTTCGTCTATAAACTGAGGATAATGCAACCGCCCCATCCCACCTTTGTAAGGATTACATGAGATAGCAGATGATGATCGAGTAACACATTGACTTGTACATAATGATATCAATAAACACTGGTAGTTACTAATTACATGACAGTAATCTAAGCTTTGATTATCTATCTATCCACAACCAAATGTGTATGTCCTTAAACCACTGTTTGAAGTAGGGGAAGGATAGCGTACAAGGACATCAGGGCATTTGGAGACTCACCAATGGCCTGTATTAAGTTGGTACTTCCTGACTCCCTGAAGCATGTCCCTGCCACCCACAGTCTAGGAGCTAATCCCAGTTTCCACTTCTCTACTAATCATTTTCTCTCCTTGCAGTTCCTCCATGTTCATCTCAATGTTTCCTCCTACACTCTTTTCAAGGGATTAGCTCCTTATGTTTTAAATCCCAGTTTGTGTGGACTTTGTTGTCAGCCTATTATACTCCCCTTTTATTTAATCCATAGCTCCCATCTCCCAACTTTCCCCTTCTCTCTCTCTCTCTCTCTCTCTCTCTCTCTCTCTCTCTCTCTCTCTCCCTTTATTTCCAAGCTACCATTTCCAGATCACATCTTCCTTGCAGCCTGCTCTGTCCCCACTGTCTCTTGGTACTCCTGGCCTTCCTTCTCCCTTAGTTTAGCTTTCCCAAGATCCATCTAACTCATCTCCTTCACCAGAATCTATAAAAGCTCCCGTCCCAATCTTCTGTCTGTCTTGCTTCTTCCATTCTTTCATTCTATCCCATAGGGTCTCTAAGAATGCAGAAGAGTGGCCCTGAGAATTGGGGAGGATAAGGACTGTTCGAATTCAGGGCATCTACTAGCCTCTATTACTGGAAGCACTTGGGGTGCAAAAGAGAAATGGTTTTCTGGAGCCATTAAAGGGATTTGGCTCTTGACCACCTGCTGCTTGCTTCTTGCTGAATCCCGTCAGCCTAGAAGCTTAAACACACTGAGTTTTATGAAGTGACAAGCAGGGAAGTGGCAAAAATATATCCCTTCCCAATCAGAATACATTCTCCTAGGGTAAGAGGCAAGCTTGATTGGGACACGACACTCAGGAAATATACCTGTGAAGGTGCCTCAAATGACATTCTTCCTTTGCCTGACTCCTAACGTCATCTCATACTCTGAAATGTTTACCCTCAGGAGGCCTCTAAATCTCTGTTTTCACTGTGGAGGTTTAGGCTGACATCCTTTAAATTCTTTCACAGGCCAAATAGCTCGAGAGTTTGCTCAGTTACTTCCCAACTCCCTCAAAGCATTTAAAACACACTATTTAAATAAAGCCCCAGTAGAACCAAAGTGCCTATAAATTTGTATACTATGTATATCCCTCTCCCATCCAACTGACTTTCAGAAGGTCATTAATTAGAGGGTCTTCTCATTCACCATTAACTCTGCAAGAAACCTAGACCTGCTCTGTTTTTGCTGTCCACCAAATCATGTCTTAAGTTTTAGTTTAGGTTTGCTAGGTTTGGTTTATCCAACTCCCCTAGCCTACAAAAAGCAAATTACCCTCCTTTTAACTGGCTACCAGTTACCTCACTATCCCTAATTGAGAGAGAGAGAGAGAGAGAGAGAGAGAGAGAGAGAGAGAGAGAGAGAGAGAAAGGAGGAGAAGGAAGAGGAAAAAGGAGAGGAGGAGAAAAGGGGGGAAAAAGGAAAAGAAAAAGAAAGAAAAAAACCCTTCCACCCAGCAAATCAGACTGGTTTAAAATCTCTCCTCCTCCCCAAGGTATTCACATGAGGAGAATCTATCCAAGCCAACTCCCAGGAGCCTTTATGAGGGACACTTTGCAGGAAAATTTCCCTTCCTCTTTAACACCATCAAACTAATAGGATTTGCAGACTACCAATTCCCTGGTCCCCCCAACAACAGCCACGCATCCTGTCTCTCCTCCTTCCACCTCCCAACAACAAGGCTGTTTTCATGTCTCAGGGCTAATTTCCACAACTGTCTTAGGGTGGTACCTAAACCTTACCAGAGAGGGGGCGGGGGAGGGGGGGAGGACAGATTGAGAGAATCAGAAAGGCTAACAACCGTGAGAAATAACACACTTCAACGCACGCCATTTATACAGTCCCTGTGTGTTGCTCAAATGCTCAGAAAATGCTCGTGAATCCAAGTGTTGGGAGAGGCAGCAATTCAAACCCGTCCACCAGCTGTTCCCACAGGAACGGAACCGGTGAGTCTGGGATGAGGCAAAACGATGCTAAATCTAAATACCACCTCGTTGGGAAACGACATCTTTAATCGCGCCCTCGCCTCCAGACCTAGGTTCGCGCTCGGGCACATTAAGCAGGGCGCATGCACCCCATCCCTGAGATTGAGAAAATAACAACTGTTGGCCCCCCGGAGCGCCGCGCAGCATCTGCACCTCCCTTCTCCCACCTCCTGGTTTATTTTTAACCGCCTTCCATTCATGCCCTTCTGTCACATTCCCGATATTATTTGTCCCTCAAATGTCCACTGCTTCTTTACAGCCAAAGGTGGGAAAGGGAAGAAAGATAAGCGAGGCATCACACTTACCCTTCCCAGGAGGGGTCCAAAATAAAAATAAAGACAATTCCCCGGCTGGTTTTGATTTCCCCCCTCAAGCTGCAACAGCTGGAGGAGGGGAAGAACGATCCTGGGGGTGGAAGGAATCACGCCTGGGTGGCAGGTGGAGGCTCCAAAATATCCACGGAACAAGTTCTGTTGCCTGGCCAGGGGGGCACAGAGTCCTCGCTGCAGGAGCCCAGGTGTGCTGATCGGGGCTGCCCCGGGGAAGACCCCCCAAGATTTCTGGCTCCACTGGAGTTCCGCACAGGAGGGCTTGCCTGGGAAAGGACGTCAAGGTTCCCCAGAAAAAAGAACAAAATCCTAGACAGCAGCAATCACTTGTTAAGCCCGGATTCCTCCTCCAACATCCATCCCTCTCCCTCTCGCGCTGGCTGCAGAAGCAGCACACGCCTCCTGG